GGTGTCTGAAGGGCCTCCATTTGCCAGGGGTGTTTGAGGGCCTCCATGTGTCATAGTTGTCTAAAGGGCCTCCATGTGCCAGAGGTGTCTGAAGGGCCTCCATGTGCCAGAGGTGTCTGAGGGCCTCCATGTGCCATAGGTGTCTGAGGGCCTCCATGTGCCATAGGTGTCTGAGGGCCTCCATGTGCCATAGGTGACTAAAGGACCTTCATGGACCAGAGGTGTCTGAAGGGCCTCCATGTGCCAGAGGTGTCTAAAGGGCCTCCAAGTGCCAGAGGTGTCTGAAGGGCCTCCATGGGCCAGAGGTGTCTGAAGGGCCTCCATGTGCCAGAGGTGTCTAAAGGGCCTCCAAGTGCCAGAGGTGTCTGAAGGGCCTCCATGTGCCAATTTTCCCAAAACACAAGTGTTAGGACTTATACAGGCTTTATCCATCAAAAAATGCACACAAATGATACAAGTAAGACATCTTTATTCTATGTGTAACAAAAAAGTGCACGCATAAATTATGCAAATTTTGGAGAGATCTTATGCATAAATGTTGAGATTGCAGGTTGATTCATAAAGATTGTTTTAGTTCATTCAGTTTCCTACATGAATATATATAATTTTATAGATGAAAAGGAAATTGTTTAATAAATATATATATATAATATATGTATATATCAGACCTGTATACTTTTACGATTTTGGCGTACAATGTACGATTTTTACATGTCTTTTACGATTGTACGCCGAGACCCGCCAAAACTACGATTTTCAGAGGCCGAGTGAAAAGTATTTGGGTATTTTTCTGATTAAAAAAAAAAATTAAATAATTTTGATTGTTGGAGTTTGAGGCCTTTCTAATAAAGATCTGGCAAGTTGGAACCACCCTTCGTTATATTATGTACGCACTGAGAGGGGAGGTCGGGGTTTTGAATAAGGAGAACGCTTGGGTAGGGGGGATTTGTGGGAATGTCAAAGTCTATAAATTAGCTTATCTATTGAGCCAGCTCCGTCAACTGTAATATTTAGACTAGTAGCCCTGGTGACAACTTCACCCCCCCCCCCCAACTTCAAACCCCCCCCACTTCACCCCCGCCCCCCCCACTTCACCCCGCCCCCCCCCTCCTCATCTTCTGTGACCAAGAATGTCAAGTAGTTTAGTTACATCATTATTTTGTTTGTCTGAACTGGCGGAGTGGTGAAAACCCGTGACACTTTTTCTATTCTGTGACTTCATATAAAAAAAAAAGATTAAAATTGCTTTTCAGGGTGGTTTTTTTATTCTTTGTTTTTTTTTTGTTTTTTTTTGGAGGGGGGGGGTGGGCGGTGAGTCCCGAAATCTCATTGTAACGTGTTAGTTGTGAAAAGTGTTCGTTAAATTTTTTTTTTAAAAAAGAAGGAAAAGTACGCGTGCAACAGTGGGGGGGGGGGGGATTAGATAATTTATTGAAATATGCTCATTTGAACTATGAACTCTTAACCTAGAAATCTACATGGGGGCAGTCAGTCTTTTCCTATATTTCACTGATGTGATGTGTTGTTTTATATTATCTAAACGTCCACCATGACCAATACTATATATATAAATACATAGAGAGAAACAGTAAGTACATTTGTTCATTACCTAAAGCTGGGCTCGGTTAAATTATTGTTTCGCCCAACGATTTTCGAATTGCCGCATGACGAAATACTGTAACTAACCTTTGCATAATATCGTTGCCTGCAAATAGGACTAATAGCTGGCCATAACTTAATAAGTCTTCAATGTGGAAGATGGTGCATTACATGCTGCCAGTTCTTTTCTGTGTGATTTTTATCTACTATTAAAATTTATAAAAACAAAATTATGACAGACTAAATTCACTATCAATATGATCCAATCAGTATTCGTGTTAAAGTTTGATTTTCTGAAACATCTAATATCGGTAAATGTAATTTAGAGTGGGTTGTGTGTTGTTTTTTTTAGTGCAATGGCTTTTGTGATTCTTGGTTACCAAGCATGCGTCAGTCACGGCGGGGGAGAAGTCTTTGGGGGGGG